TTCTCGAGTCCTGTGTTTTCAGGTCCCTTGATGAAGATGACACGCAAATTCTTCTTTAGTGAGTTAGCCAACTGATCATTATTACCAGCATCGTCAAATTCATGTTCAGGTGCGGTATAGGTGAAATATTCTTTGTTAAACTCGGCTGGGGCATTGTAGCTTGGTCCTGATGAGGAAGGGCCGCTATAGCTGGGACCGAAGGTGGCGGGGCCACTGTAGCTTGGACCGGCGGCAGCTAAACCACCATAGCTCGGACCCCCCACTTGGCCACCACTTAGACCGCCACCGAGCGATGGGCCGTTGTTGCTCTCATAGTTGTAGCCCAGACTGGCCGCATAGGTTGCTGAGATGACGGAGCACAGGATCTTGATTATGAAAAAAAAAAATTAAATAATATATGCAAACTAGTATTAAAACCTTAAAATAATTTCAAGCTGTCTTACCAAAACGGCACGCATGTTGTAGATTGGTTGGATTTAATTTCAGTTTGCAAGTCAACTAATTTCTGTCCGTTTCAAGAAACTGCAGCCCAATTTATACACGAAAAATTTCAATTGCAAAAAATGCATAAATTTTGCATACTGCAACAAAAATCTTGCAGCATATTTCCAAACAAAACAATAGAGAAAAACATCGATATAGCAAAAACTTGCAAAGTTTTAGCAACAAAATTGAAAAGAAAAAATTTAAAAAATTCGCACAACTTGCATATAACTAACATCTCAAGGTCATGTCTTTAGCTCTTATATCAGGCAAATACAAACAAACACGCCAATTTGAATATGTGTTTATAAATATTTAAAAATTAAGCATATTTACCGATCGTTAAGTGTGAATGCAATCCAAAAGCGAAACAATTCAAATTTGGTATTAATCGGTCGTTTCCTTTGAGGCTGCCTCAGTTTAAATTTTAAATCTACATATATTCGATAATTTTATTCGTTTGCACGGTTCCACTAACTCGTATGCTAATAAAAAATTACAATGACGCTGCTAATTTGATATGGTCCGTATTACATTTCAAAATTATTCGCAATAACTGTTACAATGATTGATTACAATCACCTTTTAACGGTTTTTCATGTAATCAAGAATTGTTTTCAAGGAGTTATTTTGTTAAAAACAAGTTAAGAGGTATAAGTTCGGGCGAAACCGACCCCGGCATACGTAATAAATATAGTTTTTTTTTTTACCTTTCTGTAAACTACATCAAAAGCTGGGTTGTTCCTCCGATTTCAAACATTTTCGATATTAGGTACATATGGGCGATTCACGTCAAATGTCCCAGGCGCGTTGAGCAGCGCAAAAAAAGAAATTTTTTGAATAGCTGGAAAGCAGACAGAAAATGGGAAACATAATTCGAGAACTTTGATTTTTATAGATTTTTGTACAGCCTATCCGAAAGTGCCATGCGATTTCCAAAATTTGGAGAAAATTCGAAGCAAAAATTTATTTGTAATATTTCTCAATTATGGTCATTTTAATATTATCAAAAATTATCTCAATCGAAAAATCACGTCTTTTAACATAAACATCTTTAAAAAAAGGGGACTCTTTTTCTGTTTTTCGGGGTTATAAAGCATTTTCGCGTTGCGTCGCACCATGCCGCCTAAGGACATGTAGAGGGTTGCCACCTGTTTAAAAAATCAAACTCCTTTTGAATTAAAGGAATTAATTGAAATAGTTAGGCATCACCGTATGGGAGTCAGCCGAAAGAGGTATACCAATGTTTTAGCTTGCAAATATTATGAAGAGGGTTGCCGCCTGTTCGTAAAGTAAAACTTAAAATTAAACCAAAATAAGGATTGTGTCAAACCAAAGCTTTACGACATGATATTTGTTATTTTATTACACATACTTACATTGTCAATCAGTGATTTGTTCCTATTACATTCCTTTTAAATTACTGGACTCTTAAATTAACTCAGGAATGGTTTTCCTCTTCACTTATTTCTTAATAAATGTGTCCAATTTTTTCATTTGTCTGAATAGCCATATTCCGTTAAATAAAGTTAATTTGTCGTTTAGAAATAAAACATTTGCAAAACCATTTTAATTGATTCTAATTCATTTATCTGATTAAACAATTGTAATAAATTTAAAACATGTGGCAACCCTTCCCAAAAAATAAAACCCTAACACTAACATAGTATTGTAGAAGCACACATATATTATTGTTATTATCTCATAAGTTTGTATTGTTTAGCATTACAAATGAATTTAAAATGCAGTTTAAGTTACAAAAAACCAAATTTGATATCTAAAAATAAAATTTGTAAGAATTAAAGGAATAGCTTCAGAAAAATTTCTCAAGAACCCTGTTGGAAGCCCTACTATGCGTAGCAAAAGCAGAAGCCCTTCAATTGTTGCCACGCTACACAGTGGGGCAAAAAAGGTTGATGTGGACAAATCAATTTTGAGAGGCCAAATATGAACCGATATCAAGTTTATTTTTTTTTTAAATAAGAGATAATTAAATTTTGCGTCGATCTATTCATGGCGATTTTTTAAAAGGCTCTAGCTTTTTACTTTAATTAATTGAAAATGTCTGCAAATATTTAAAAAATTATTCGCGAACATTTTTCCATAGGCCACATTTAATCAAAAAAGTATTTAATTTATTATCTTTACTAATATATATTTTGGAAGCCGTTTTTTTCTGTTCGAAAAAATCGAGAACAGCTGTACCGATATTTTGCAAATTTTGGGCATCGATTTTAATATATCAAGGAGCGTGGCACCTCACATACAAACTGAAGTTTTTAAACAACATATCTCTGGAAGTATTCATCGTAGAGTGCTGCAACATTGTATAGAGATATATAATATCAACGCCAAACTCATGGAAAAATGGGAGTTTTTAAACTAAATTTCTCACATTAGAATGTGTAGTGTAGTGTGGTGTGAGAAATTCAGTTTAAATGGGAGGTGCCATACCGCCTTTTTCAATATATACTTATTATATATCTCTGTACTAAGTTGCCGCACTCTCTGATGAATACTTCCAGAGATAAATTGTGTGGAAAGTTCAGTTTGTATGGAAGGTTCCATGCCCCTACATATATCGAAATTGCTTTTTATCTATTATCATCCTTGGATAGTCTAGATGTCCCTTATGTCCCGATGTCCAAAATTCTCAAAAATACCGGTACAGCTGTTCTCGAGTTTTTAGAACAGAAAAAAAAACCGCTTTAATAATATATATTAGATAGATAACCAACGACATACATTTTTTAATTAAATGTAGCCTATGGAAAAATATTTATGAATAACATTTTTCAACATAAATAAATAAAAAACCAGAGCCTTTTTAAAATAATAGCCTTACCTCGATGGATGCGAAATTTAATTTGTCTTTTATTTAAAGAAAGAAAGAAACTTGAAATAGGTTCATATTTGGGCTCTTAAAATTGATTTGTCCACAGCAACTTTTTTTGACCCACTGTGCGTCATACAAAAAAGAAAGCAGAAAGGAAGAACTTTTAACTCTTCTGAAGTTATTTACTGGGTAAATGTTGCTCGAAATCAATTTTTTTTTTTTTACTTTTTATACATATCATCATCATATGTATGAATGTCCACATACATATGTATCTACATATGTACAAATATCAACTCTATACATTTTTGTATGCCCAAGTATTGATGACAAGTACATCCCAGCCGGAAAAATTAAGAACTATTTTAAATAAACGCTTTAAGGCAGCACCTTTCTATGATGACCTTCTCTATGGAAGATGTAAAAGAATATCTTGTACCAGCGCTGCCATTCGAAGGCTGAGGAAAAGAATCGCAGTAAGCAAAGTTAAATTTTAATTATTTTTTCAAGTAAATTTTCTCCTCTTAAGGCAATCGGAATGAAAAGCCCGTAAAATTCCTGATCATTCAATAGAAAATAAAGAGAAATAAAAAATCAATCAGAAATAAGTGCTCTTAGAAGACTTATGTTCTAATCACACACATCCATATCTATGTATGTCGATATGCTAAATATAATTGTGTTTTTTTTTTATTATGTCTATTGTTTTTATACAAAATCAACTGCCACATATTGCAATTGCGGTCAAAAAATATTCATGCGGACATTTATAAGCCTTACGGCCCGTGTACGAGTATATGGTTATCGATGCGCTAAATGTAGCCGCCGGTCTAGCGGTTTATGCATAATTTATGATGATTTGCATTTTTATGACAGGATTGGTATTTCGTGAATGACAAGACAAAAACAAAAAAAATAGCAAAAATACTAAAAAAAACTTAACAGACATAAATATGTACATAAGTATGTTAATAAAGTCGCATTCCACAGGCACCAACACAGTCACACTCTTATATATTTTTTATTATTTTTGATTTTATAGTCGCGGGGGCTGTTGTGACATAAAATCACCTTTGGCAAGTAAGCTTTGCTCCGAAAAGTCGTCATAATCATCATTACAAAACTTTAAGCCGCAAATGTGTATGCGATTTTGGAAAATCCCATGTCTTCTTAACAAAAGGCTTTTTTTCACAAGATCAAAGCAAACGGCCGCATTAGTTTATAATGAAAGCACACTCCGCTAAATTGTTCAAATTTTATGCTTTTTTGAGGATTATTTATGAGTAATATGTAAATATGTATATGTCTATATGCATGAAAGTTTTTATAATTGGTCATGGTTTGACACCCTGCGTTTACTTTTGATATTTCAAGGAAAGACTGCCTATGTCAACTTTGGTCTTGGCCCTGTCGGTGAGAGTTGAAGAGAATTTTACAAGATTGCAAAAAGAGAGGCCAATGGTAGCAAATCTACGGTTTTACTTAATCCATATCCTGCTGATGGATACACATTCCAAGAGTTTCTTTTCAATTTAAGTAAGAGATATGTAATACCTATCTCACCCTGCCCAAATAGCTGTATTTTCTATGTTCGCGAATTCGCCTTATTAGAGCCCAGACGTAAACGGAGGGGTTTCCGGTTACCCGGTTAAAGTGTATCTCTGCTTGGGCGGATGACTCTGTTCTCAAAAACGGCCGACAGCAGCAACAATCTCTACTCCAACTAGAGCCACGGCACAGTTGAAAAAGTTCAAAGCGAGGGCAGAGCAAATGAAACACACCAATATTAGCGAAATGGTAGAGGAGGTCCGAAATGTTGAAGGAAACAGAAACACTGTAGTGCAAATACCGAGAATCACATCTCCTTTGGGACGATAAAAAAAGTAATTAGTTTTTGTGAAGTAGGGAAAATTGAGCGTTTGTGTAACAAATTTATGATTTTTTCCATATATTTTTGGTACCTTGTTTTATCTGGGTTTTTCTTTATGGCTGATAGAAACAATATTAACAAGTAAATATCGTTTTTAACCTTTCCGTAAACTGCATGATGAGCAAGAGTATTTTTCCCGATGTCAAACAGTTTCGATAATATGCTATGATATATTGAAATAATTGGACCAGGTTTGGTGGAAGTTTTGGACAAAGCAAAACAGACTTCGTTGTTTTTCTTAGCTATGATGTCGATGTCATAGGTATATGCCTGCAATTGTACGTTCTTGTGAAGTATTGTGGCTGAGCGGTTCAGTTATCCGGCTCTTATTATCTTCTCCAATAGCAGGTTAAAGAATTTATACGAAAGAGAGTCACCTTGTGTAAACCCCGTTTGGTATCAAACGTGTCGGAGGGCTTCTTCCCAATTCTGGCGGAGCTGCTGGTATTGCTAAACGTTATTTTACTTAGCCGTATTAGTTCCCCGGGGACTCCAAATTCAGACATCGCGGCATAAAGACCACTTTTCGCGGATTTTTTACAAGTATTGCGTGTTGTGAATTTGCCAGGTCTAAAACCACACTGCCCAATCAGTTCGCTGACAGTGTGTGTCAGTCTCTCACACAATACGCCCGATAAGGCCATGTAACCTATGCTTAGAAGGCTGTCGCCTTTCCTCTTGATTTTGCAGAGTACACTTCAATTTCAATCGTCGGCTACCTATGCGTTCATCTGACCATGTTCTGCATAAAAGTTGATGCATGCAGCCTATCATCTCCTCCCCACCGTAGTTGAATAGCTCGGCTGGCAGGAGGTAGGCATAGTCAGGAGGTAGGAAATCGACTCCATCGTCGTAGACTGGCGCTCGGGTTCATCTTCCCTCCATAATTTAATTACGTTCCGGACATCGGTCACTAAGGTGTTCGCCCTGGTCTTCAAATCTTCCGTAAGTCGCCTAACGTATTTTCGTCTTTCTCTTCTTATTTCGGAAAACACGTCTCGCTTCCCTCTTCAGTTCTGTACTTACGGATGTGGTTTATTCTTTTACCCTCTTTAGCAGAAAAGAAATCGATGGCAGTAAGGAATTATCCACTTCGATAATTTGCATTTTCGAGCCATATGTCTAGCCATATCATCGGCTTTATTGTCCTCTACGATATCGTTATATCAAGGAATGCAGCATATAAATGTTTCATGTTTTGACTTGACTCAGTGAAGGAGGCCATGCACGACATTTCCGAGCCACTTTCGAATTTACTTCCTTGGAGTCTTATGATTTCCATGCCGCCGGCTGTCAATGTATAAAGTCACCTTCCCTGACTGAGACTTGTATCCGGTATCAGACAAGCCGACCTATCTATGGCAAAGATCTCCGCCTTATCAGATAGGCGATATAATTGCCGTATCTGAAAGGATTTTTCCAACTTTGAGTTATCGGTGTATATGGAAATGTCATTATATACCGACAGCATCCCTTATCATCCATTACTAATTTCAATGTTGTAAATTTTGGAAAAGTTTCGTTTAAAATTTGTTAAATAAAAATTCCGTTTTCTTTAACTCGATAATTCAGATGCTCTATTGGCTATTTAGGTTTTTTTTTTTACCAGGCAACTCTTTTCAGTGTTTTGTGGTGTTTGTTTTGGCTTATCTTAAATACTAAAATTAAACTAAACAAATAAAATAAAAAAACAAAATAAATCGTTAAAAATAATCAACAATCAAAACAGCAGATCAAAGCTTAGAATCTTCTGCTGGGTGGCAAATACGACGCTTGTGGTGCCTGTGGTGGAATATACGAGTTGGATGGTGCTACTGGCGCGGGAGCAGCAGGCGCCTGTGAAGCAAAGTTCAAGACGGGTGCAGCACCGCCGCTATTGCTGGTAGATGGACCGGGCAGTGAGTCGTATTGCGACTGGATAGCGCGCTGGGCATTCTCAGCATCAGCAGGGGTCCTGTACTTGACGAAGTGCACTTCGGGTTTGTTGGTATTGCTTTGCAATGAGTTCAATCTGTTGGCCAAATCACCGATGTCAGCTTGTTTGCTGAGTACATAGATGGCGGTACGTTCATCACCAGCAGCCTTAGCCAACTGCAAAGCGGCATTCTCGAGTCCATTGTTTTCGGGTCCCTTAATGAAAACGACGCGCAAGTTCTTCTTCAGTGAGTGGGCGATCTGGTCGTTGGCGCCAGCATCATCGAATTCATTTTCGGGAGCCGAGTAGGTGTAGAATTCTTTGTTGTACTCGTTTGCTGGCTGAATTGGCTGGGAAAGTTGTGCGGCGCCTACAGCTCCAGAAAGATCAACTGATCCCTGTGGAGGATAGCTATATTGAGCCGTAGCAGCGGCAATCAAGCAAACGACCTGTAAAGAAAACGAGTATGATTTCGTTAAAAAATAATCAATTCCGAGAGGATTGTTTTTCTGTTGTGTTCCTTGTGTATGTTAACCTACCACAAATGTACGCATCTTCAGGCTTGCAGCAGTAAGTTTAGTTTTGATTGAGCGTTGAATTGATTATGATTCGATTTCTTCTGCGTCGTCATCTTTATACCATTTACCAAATGTATTGCAACAAGACACGGATGATATTATGAAATCAAGGGCCAGCGGAAAGAAGCAACGCAAATATTTAGTACCGCTTTAGTCGGTGTTAATGAAGCCGTTTCATCATTGAAATCTAACACGAAGAAGATCTGTGGCGGCGGCTTCTTCGTTGGTGGCACAAACAGATTGAAACATTAACTAAAATGGAATACGTAATGCAGTGTTACAATATAAAATACAAATATTTTATGTGTGTTCACCATAGACGATTAACATTTTTCCATAGAAAGCTAACGCCACAAATAGTAATCTTTGATCAGTTATAAGCAAATAGTGACAAATTTTTAAAACACCCTGTCGGAAATTAAAAAGGAGTTTCACTAAATGTATTGTGGCAAGGCCTCCAGTATCAGGGTTTGAGCTCCTTGAACGGCCAGAGCATAAAAAAAATCCAGTGAACTTCAATTTAAGTATTGTAGAGCGTATAGTTGGAAAGGATTAAGTCTTTCGTCAAAGTATTAACAGAGACTTAACGTCGAGGCTTTATACTTGGTAAATAAGCTAGATTTCCGTTATATGTCAAACCTTGGTACATATGCGAATGAGGTGTATCGACACATACATTTGTCAATTGTGAAGCCGCTTTCGATGGCATGTAAAACCGCTGCTTAAACGGAGCGACAGCCAATTTCACGCATCGAAAAACAAAGACTAGGAGCCAAAAAATGTTAACTGCGTTTTTAGTTTTCCTCTCTGACGTAAATATTTTTTTAAAAGGGCTTTGGAATTTAAATAATCGAAAAAAAAATTTATAAAAAAATTGTGTGCCATGAAGAATATACTGAAGAATTGAGAAAGATAAAATTTTTTGGTGCATAAGGAAGATTAGGTTTTGAAAATGTCCTTTCGAAAATTTTGATCCTTGAATGTCCTTGAAAATTTGGAATATTTATCGTTAAAAATGTATATGATAAGGAGTAATATACAGACGACCACATCCTCGAATCTCGTCCTTCTGATTTTATTAGCTTAAAAATATTAAATTAATCATGAAGTCATTTTCAATACCTTTTTGTCTGTGTGAACCAAATAACTGTATTTTTTTTTACTTCTTCATAATTTTCTTTTTCATTTGGTACCCATCTTGTTAATCTACTTTGCACTGACTTTTCTAAATAATTTTTTGGGCTAATGATATTTTTAAAGTTTCAGAGTTCTATTAAAAAAAAATCCGTCTTCAGAGAGAAAAACCAAAAACGCAGTTTTACTATATCTAACCCATATATCGACGAAATATTGATTGTTTCGTGTGGCCTTCCAGGTCACTGTTTGCAGTTTTAATTTCGAAAAAGTAGACGACATTGTTTACTTTTGAAGGAGTGTAATATTGTCAGTACTATTTTGAGATGAAAATTTTGCATGGTGATTGTCCGAATACAATTATTCATTTGGTTTTGTTTCATTTCCCACAGGGATATTTTAAATGCAAAAGAAATATGTGTGTGAAGGAAAGTTGAGTTGTGTAGAAGCTGCCGATGCGCTGAGAAATCGCTAAGTTTCAAAAATACTGCTCGTAGTAATGCGTACATACATACATATATTTGAATGTATGTACATATATGCAGCTATTCTAACTTTGCTTTATATAAAATATTGGAAATTCGAGGTTTGGTAATTTTTCCAGCTTATGAGTAGCGCATGAAAAAATGAAAATTTTCCTTTCCTGGTGCTATGTTGTATGTATGTATGTATGCTGTTTGACACTTTTTTGAGAGCTCAACTCCGCCATTTAATATAAAAAATCCTCAGAGAATTTTCGTTCTTGATAGGAGGAAAGGGAAAAGAGAGAAAACTCTCGGGGAGTTTCTGTTCAGAATCGGCCTGTATATGTACATTAAACAAAAAAGTCCGTAACCTACCGCAAAAGACAACAACAATACTGAAATATTTCAAGTTTAAAAGCAGTTCAAAATAGTAAAATTAGGTAAAGGTTGGTATAAAACCAAAATAAATTTGCTGATAATGTGTGTAAAATATATTAATCGCAAGCAATAAAAAGTGCCTTATTGACGAAGATAAAGTGAACCGATTGATTTGACGTGGTAAATGCGGTTAACTCTGTTGTGTCACAACTGCTCGTAACGCTAGGGGCGATTTGATGTGACGATTTACATATTTATGCTCATACATATGTATGGATGTGCGTATGTTGATAAGTATGTGTGATTTCCGTCATTCACACATTCAAATACATACACTTAATTTTTAGCGGGTTAGCAGTGGGTGCAAAATCTTCAATTTCTTTTCGTATAAGCGACTCATAAACGACTCTAGAGTTGCCACTTGTTAACCTTTTGCTAGGAGAGGTATATTTATTAGAAAAAAGTATCAATGCCGACATCGTTTTTAAAGTACTAGGGCAATATTGGTCATTGTCCTTAAATTGTAGATGGAGTATTAATAGGTTAGGAAAAGATGGGTGGGCGTAAGAAATCATTAATTTCTTATTATTATTAATTATGACGTTGGGAACGATAATAGCTATAGCTCATCCTTTCTCAATACATCCCACCCAAAGATGTATGCACTATCTCAGCTTGGCGAAGGGCAGATAGCTGCAGGGAAAATGCTCTTTACTCTCCTCATCTGCCAAAAAAGACGTACAGAGTGCGTATTCGATATTTCCTACGATTAGCATATGTCGTCTCCTTTGATTGTAGCCCATAGAAAGTCTTATCAGGGCTCGCAGTTCCATCTTAAGCTGTTAGAGGGGGAATTTCGCTATCACTCTATTTGACCTTCTCAAAAAGCGTCAGTTTCCTGATGTACCCGACAGTTCTCACCCTTCTTGTTCTTAAAATTGGCTCCGGTCAAACTGCGTGCTCCAAAGCACCACGGTTCGTCAATTTAGTTCGTTGCATTGAACCTCACAGTGTTCCCGTACACACATATAAATTCAAGCTCATAACATTGTGCAACGGAGTTCAGCCGCCTCCATTAACAGCTATGAATAATACTAGAAGAAGAACGAGTGATTTACAAGGACTTTTGGGATACTCGGTTTTCACTGCAGAATTTGGTTTGTTGTCAATTATCCAGTTTAATTATCCACTAATTGAAAGATCTGCTAACGAGCAGGTCTCAGCGAGATTATGTTTCTCTTTGAGCAATAAGTTTTAACCCTAAAACAGTAATCAGCACTATGACTGTCCACTAACAGTAAGAATTCGTAAATTTTACGGCTATTTTTGTTATAACAAAGATATATTTTTGATTTCATTTCCCTTAGATATAATGATTTAAAAACAACAATGGGACATAAAGGCCAAAATAATTCATAAATAACTGGTAAATTATTTTTGGTTTGCGCATGCATTGCTTTATCTACTTGGTGTTCTCCGCAAATATATCGTCCCCCGGCGCTTTCGATATGGGAATAGCGAACAAGTTGAGCGCCATCGATCATCTACAGGTATTACCCTCAGCTTCTGATCCACTGCCTTCTTTCAAACTTGGTGGTCAAGAATACTCTCTGCGTTTTGCCATGATTCTACTAAAACAGAAGAAAAGAGCTTATGGGTCATTCCATTGAAAAGAGGAAAACGACATAAATTTAAATATGTCCTATTGATCTCTATTTCAGTGGTAACCTCTTTTTAAATGACTACATTACATTAATCTGTTCGAAAACATTAAAAAATTCAATAGAAGTTGTAATTTTTATCTATGAAAAAAAGTGAAATAAAAAAAATATATATTTTTTTAAGGGTATCACATTTCGCTGAAGGGGATCTAGTTACTATCGTACTGGTTCGTTTTTGGCGATAAAGATCTTGTACGGAACTAGAAATTTTATTCAGTAGGACGCGGTTTCCCTGAAGGGAGATGCCCCACCAGCCACAACTTTAAATATTTTTTAATATTTCTATGACGATTATATAAACCTCATTTTTATTGAAAACGAAAGCGTACAATTCATATTTTACAACACACAACATCGTTCGTGAGCGCACAAGGGTTAAATAGAGTTCTTTTCAATGTTCCACCAGTCACATTCATTTAAATGTTAGTTACATAAATCTAAGAAATTGTTGGTCTTTTTGTTAATGCAATTTTATACATTAGTTATCATTCTGTGTTAAATAATATATTTCGATGTTGTATAAGTTCCGATCACATAGCTAAAATTCACAGTTGATTACATTCTGGAGTCCCACCAGCTACAACGGAATGGCCCTTATAGTTTATGATAATTTTTTGCTGATAATCTTTCAACTAGAAATCGGGAAAAAACTTAAGCAAAGAGTAAACATTCGTAAAATTTACGAATATGATAACTACCTCACATACGCAGACACCGCTAAAGCACCGCATTACCGATTAAAACAACTGATCATCGCGTGCAATGAAGCTACATATACTGATTTTCAATGAGATCAATAGCGTAGGGCATTGCCAACAGCAAATTTTCAATTTCGTAGTAATAAAATTTACAAATGCTTACTGTTCTAGGGTTCAGAAAAATGCAGTTTAATGAAAATTGTGTCTATTTTCATTTGAAAATAATAAAATCTAAAGAAATTTAAACTTAAAAAAATATTGTTTTAAGAAGAGAAAAATAAATAAAAAGAGTTTCTCAAAATTAAATTAAATAAAAATTTCAAAACCAAGATTCCAAAGATTAAAATTAAAAATACAAATTAAATGAAATAAAAACAAAATCTTTTTAAACCATTAAGATCTAAAAAGGAGAAGAATAAAATAAATTTATAAAGAAGAAAAAATATTCTCGGAGCATCGGCATGAAAAGCTTTTACCGAACTACTCAAAAGAGAGAAACCTTCTTATTGAAAATTTCGATGGACTCCGATTTATGGCACTCTTCATCTAGGAACCTAAGCATCTGCTCTGACCATTTGTAA